ACTGACTTCATTTCTACCCATCCACAGCCCCCTAGAATCACCATCCCTGCGTTGAAGCCCTGAATGTTTTTGCCCAAAGTGTTGGGGTGTTGAGCTGTGTCACGAGAAGGAAGGCTTGTGCTATTTTTAAATTGATGCAACACATCGAAACATATCATACACATATCATACCAGTGACACACACACTGTATTGTAACATAGCATGTGTCATACATACATTTTCTCTCACTCACACACATACTCGTTCTTCTTGTCTGGCTTGAGGAAAAAAAGGCAGCCAGAAAGCTGAGCCCCGTGATTTGAGTTGAAAGGGCTGTTAAATTTTAAAAACCAAGTGTCCCTCTAGATCTCAGCTGGCTTTGAGACATGTGGGAGGGCTTCAAAGCCGTAGTGCCCCTCTTTTAGAGCTCAAGCTTGCAGTTGGTCCCCAAATGTTTACCAGCATGAAGATGCCTAACTTACAGGAAGTGGAAAATGGGTGTGGGGTTGAGAGTGGGTGGGTGGGTAGGGAGTGGGAAGAAGAGGGTGGGGGGTGTTCTCTTGATGTGGTTAGTCTGTCATTGACCTTGTTTGGGTATAGCAGGAGTTGAATTAGAAAATGAAAACACGTTTCATCTTGGGCACATTTCATCCCATTTTCTACTTTCCTTAGGAAAGAATAATTCCCGCCCCCCCCCCACGCCCTGGACCCCTCAGTAGAGTCAGGTTTCTAGATTTGATACTAAATTTCCCTTCATTCTGCCATAGTCTTCTTCCCCTATGCAGTCATCTGGCTGCTTACCTTGCTGTTCTCAACCCACCTAATAACTGCGATGGGCCCTGTAGCTCATGGGCTTGATGAGCTGTGTGATGATACCGTCAAAGGAATAGAGGGGGTTTCTGAGAGCTGAATTATTCCTGCTTTGCTCCCTTTGTGAAAACTCAGTGAGATAACTGTGAGAAGTGCTAGTTAATAAAGATAACAGAGTTGGTTACTAGGGTTTTTTTTTTTTTTTTTTTTGCTTTTTTTTAATTTTGTTTTTTGCTTTTGGTGTCTAAAAACACCAAAAGGGAAGGGAAATAATACAGTTTCTAAAAATGCACCAAGTTAGAAACAAGCATTTGTGACTTCAGATTCCAGACAGTGGCAGCCTCTGATAGCTCTCTCTGCACAGCTGTACCAACACCAACCTTGCCCTGCTCTACTAAGCATTCTAAATGCTATGGTCAGGCCTTCTAGAAGGGGTGAAGTTCAGAAGGTCACTCTCTCTTCTTCCCCTTTAACTCCGTTGTGCTGGACAATACCTAAATATGACTATATGACATGCTTTTCCTAATGATGAAGCCATGCTTCCTTTCCTTTATTCCCACACCCTTTGTTTTTTTTTTTTTTTTCATCTTTCATTTTAACTTTTATTACTGCCTATCCTTCATGGCTATAACCGCATTCAAATTGGTTTGGCTTGGATTTTGGGGGTATCATTTTGAGATAAGAAGCAAACATTTGAAGGATTTTATATTCCAACACTCTGTGTCTCAAAATTTACTTTCCTTAAAGTTCCACTCATGGCCTTGTCCAGCTGAGCTAGAACACCTGGAACTAATTTTAGGGTTGCCTGGCTAAGCCCCACACTGGTATTTGAAGTTTGCGTCCTCCTTAGACTCAAGCCCATTTCACCACCTCTGAAGGTGAGTGCGGGCTGATATTAATTAACAGTGAGCTGATTCACTGGCATCTTCCAGTCATTAAAGTAAATAGTTGGCTTAAAATAGCCTCTTCCCACCTCAAATATCCAACTTTTTGCCTATTCCCTTACTCCATCGTGATTGACTCACCAGCTCTTGCATGGTGTATGTGGCCTAAGAACAGGGTTTAATTCTAAAAGGGAAGTGAAATACTCTTTAACATCTGCAGGCGAGACTGTGGAACAGCAGTCCGGCCTTCAGTATGACTACATTGTTTTCCTGTCCATTGTGGCGCTGACTCAGCATCACTTAATAAACCCTCTTGAGAGGGCTGGATTTCTGTTGTTTAATTATCATCTTGGAGCTTTCTGAGAACTGCTTAAAGAATTGTTCATTCATTTTATACCCCTAGCACATCTGCCCACGAAAAGTCCTGCTTCCTCTTGGTGCTAGCGTCCCCTTTGGCAAAACATGCAATAACAGGTCACCAGGCAGAAGCGGGGGAGTGTGTGTTGCTTATGTCCCCTAGTGGGAATTTAATTGTTCTGTACTACAGAGATTGTGGAAGGACTTTAGACACAAATATCATTTCCTGGCACATAATCTTTTGCCTCCCACTCTGCTCCCTCCAAAAAACAAATTCTAAAGAGTTTTTTTCTAAAAGAGAGAAAAGACATTTTAAATATAAACAGACATATTTTTATGATTGAGTTGTACTTTTGTTTTGCTTTGTTTTGTTTGTTCCTGTAAACAAATACTCACATGTCCACTTCATTGTATGACTAAGTTGGTATCATTAGGTTGGGACTGGGTGTGTGTACGTGGGTGTGTGTGTGTGTGTTTGTGTGTGTGTGTAGGGACATGGGTATTTACATGGGTATATACATATGCACATGTGTATTTAAAATGTTAGAAACGACATTGCAGCCCCTGGTTGAAGGAGAGATGATTTTAAAAACAAGCAACTACATGAGGCAAGCAGGAAAAGTGGGGGACTTGTGTTACTGTGATCTAAACAGAAATGTAATGGGGTGCTTACTATAAATGGATCCTTTGCATCATTGTTTCTCTGAATTAGAGGATTCCTTGCTGAAGGCACAAGACCATTGAAGGAAGTAAAGCATCTGGTTTGTTTTGTAATGAGAAGCAGGAATGCAAGGTCCACGCTCTTAATAATAAACAAACAGGACATTGTATGCCATCATCACAGGATGTCCTTCCTTCAACAGAGGACTGACGGGGCTGGAGGAAGAGCCGGACAGGGCTCGGAATGAGCCCCACTAATTACTGCCTCCGTCTGTCTTCCACTTACAGTGATCAGTTCATCATTCCCTTTACACATTGCTTACACACTTCTTGGAAGTCTGGCTGTGGCTTTGGGGGAGAGAAGAAAGGCAAAGAAATTTTAATCTGTAGGATTATGACTTTTTCCTATTTCCTTATTTACTAAATAGTTGAAAGAGGGAAGTGAGTTCTGCCAAATGGGAAGATATGTTAGCAGCAGAAACGGAAGCTTCTGAGTATTTTTGTGGGGGGGAGGTTAGGGGGAAACATGTATTTCATCCACACAACTTGAGGACGACACAGCTACAGTGTATTATTTTAGATGCAAAACTAATTTGGCTTGATCTTTTCGGGTAAATTTTGTGTATTCAGTAACTGGATTTGAGCTGAGGAACCACAACGTTTTTTAGATAATTTTAAGGTTTCCCTTCTTGTGAGGAATGAGTGCCCCCTTACTAAGTCACTGCAGGTCTGGAGTATTTAGAATACAATACAGCCCAAGTAAACGTCGAGGTTAAGCGCCTTCCAAGGGAAGTAAGACGATTCCAAGTAAATATTGGAATTCACAAGCGGAGAGAGGAAGCTCTGGGCGGCTCACAATCTGGGGGAAAGCCCTGAGCTGCGCTCCGCGCGGCGCCGCGCACTGCAGGTGTGGCCACGCCCCCCACTTCTGGCGGATGAATCAACGAATGGGAAATTTGCAGCAAAAAAGGGAGGGGAAAGGAACGGCCGCTCTGGTTAACACACACTGGTGCTGCAGTGACACTCGGCCCTCCTGTGTGGCGGAGAGGCAGGGGCAGCGCGCAGCGCGGGCAGCGCACAGCACCTGTCCGCCCCGGCAGACGCGGCGCCCCGGCGCCCGAGCCAGCAGGAGAGCGGAGCGCGCGCCCGGCCCCGGCCGCGAGGGGACGCGGGAGGCGATGCGGACGCTGTAGACATGAGCGACACTTGTCTCAGATGTTGGATATTTGCTTGGAAAAACGTGTGGGTCCGACCTTGGTAAGGAACTTGATCTTGTTTTTATTCTGAAATTGATCTGAAAACTTTTTTTTTTTTTTTTTTTTTTTGGCTAACGTAGTCTTGGTTGGAGACCAGCAGTGCTTCTACTTTAAGGCATTTAGTATTGTGAATAGTAAGTCTTTTTTCCTTATGAATCATTAACCCTTTCAGTTTTGGGCATAATTGTCAATTCCTTGACATTTCAGTAAGTGGCTCCTGCCCACCCCTGTCAAACAGTGAAACTATTCCGGCTTGGCTTCATTTTTTTCAATTTTCACATGTATCTGGCATCATGACTGTACATGTTAGAACATGCTTATTTAGATTTTAACTCGAGAAATAGAGAACCTCGCATCTAACTTTCTGAGGAAAGCATCGTCTTTAGGGAAGAAACAGCAGCGTGTAAAAGCCACTTTGAAGGACTTCCTCTGTGAGGGCTGCGTTCTAAGGACAATTCATACACGGAAAAGATACCCAAGTTCCTATTTTTTATTAAACATACTTCTATGGGAGAACTTTGCAGAAGTTGTTGACTTCTTTTCTCTTTGAAAAGCGCTTTTCCTGAGGTGGGAGGCGGGATTTGCGGGAATATGCTTATCAATTTTCAGCTGGATGCAGAGCTGGTCCTCGGAGTCGTCTATATTTGTTAGAACTTTAGTTACAGTAAACCGTAGCACATCAGTGACTTCTGGGAATTCGTACACTTTCAGATTTAAATGGAAAGTGCTATTTGTAGCTGAGGGCTCCTAAAGGAATTCTCTCCAGGGAATTCTATTGAACAGTTTCATGTTTTGTTTTTGCTTTTTCAATTTGGCGTGAGATGCCCACAAGTCAAAAGAAACTGCAGGGAGTTCCCCCCACCACCACCACCACCCATTTTTCCTCCTCTTTTCCTGTGGCCCAAATGATTTCTGAAAAGCTGCAGCTCAGTGATGCTGGCAGGATGCAACCCTTTTCAGCCTTCATGCGAGAGGATGAAAGAGCGCACAGCAGAGGGGGGGTTGGGGGCGGGTTGTTTTGAAAGTTGTTTTGCGTTGGGAGCTGGTGGGAAAGTTCAGTCTTCCCCATTTGGAAAAGGCAGGCTGGGTTCCGCTCCTGCACCACACGCGCTTTCCATTTTTAGCTTCATTCAGAGGCAGACAGAGCTCCTTCCTCTTCCTTTCCTTGTTTGTGACACTTTTCTGAGGCAGCTTTTCCACAGCGCTGAGGGTCTGGCAGCCATGACCCCAGGCGCTCTGGGATATAGGACTGAGCGCCCACAACATTTTTCTGCGGTGAGAGGTAAAGGCTGGGATTGTTCGAAGGTTGTTCTTCACTCTCCTCTCCCCCCCCCCATGAAATTGCCACACTTTTTTTTTCTTTTTAATTAAGATTAAGAGCAGCACTTTAAAATTCTTGCTTCTTCAAGGCAGTCTTCCTTATACGACTTTTTGGCTCTTACTCAACTGTACCAAGCACTCTGCATCTGCGTTTAAAGTCTTCAGACTACTGTATTAGTCATAGCTCTCCGAGGGAGCCACAGGACAATGGGGATTAAAGGCCTTTCCCTTCTCTTCCAGGCTGCCCCGAAGTATAGCTCCAGCGCTGTGAGGTTTGAAAGGTTGGCACAGGGGATTGAGGGGACCATGAAAATGGACATGGAGGACGCGGATATGACTCTGTGGACAGAGGCTGAGTTTGAAGAGAAGTGCACATACATTGTGAATGACCACCCCTGGGATTCTGGTGCCGATGGAGGGACTTCAGTTCAGGCAGAGGCATCCTTACCAAGGAATCTGCTTTTCAAATATAGCACAAACAGCAAAGAGGTAAGCCTCTGGTTTATTGCTGAAGAAGATTGGCACCTGGCGCCAAATCTCCCTACTTGCCCTTGAGGTCTCGTAATATCTGTGACAATCTGTAAGTATCAGTAAATAATTGATCCCTTGATGCACTTCTTTTATTGATTTCTCTTTTCCCTACGAGTTCCTTCTCCTATCATCTAGCTCTCAACTGTGCCATACTCATTAATAAACAGTTCAAATTTTTGGCAAGTTGACATGTCTTGGAAAAAACAAATTGCAGCATGAGACAGTCTCGGGTCACTCTGGACCCACTGGCCCTGGTTCCCCAACTCTATACTGGCTTCTGAGAGGGAAAACTTTTTCTTAGAAAAAAAGATGGTCATGATCCTTTTGTCTTCTTTTGGTCATTAGATGGCTTTATTCTTTTTAACGAGCAAGCTTTATTAGCTGGGTTTCTAAAATTATTTTCAAAACCTTGACGTGTTTATGAATTGAAGTGATGGTATAAACTGGGCAGAGGTTCATGTAAAAGTGTCCTCTGTCCGATGACTTCAGAGCTAACCACTGTTTATCTGTGGCAGCTCCTTTGCTCTGGCTGGACTGGCAGGCTGATTCCTTATGGGTCTCTGAAGTGGGTACACTCTTTGTTGTTTCAAAGGGGCTGAAAACCCAAACCTGGAATGAGCAAAGGAATTGTGTTTACCCTTTTATATAACAATTATAGCTAGGCGTGATGTTTAGCTGTGAAATAACTTGCAGAACCACCTCTTGTTTTGAGGATTCGGCTACTGCAGTTGCTCTCACTGGTCTGCTGCTAGACTGAGTTGAAGGGATCTGCCCTTCAACAGACTTCACCCCCCCCCCCCCCATTAACCACAGGCCACTGTCAGTATTCTATTACTGCCTTTGAAAATAATGAAAAGGGGATCATTTATTGTAGGAATCCATAATTTGTACGTGGGACAAAATTCATGATAGCCATGTCAAATCACTTTCTTCCTTCCCCCAAGGAATAGCTTTTGAAGGAGTCGGGAAGCCTGTTTGGGAAATACTTTGTCTCTTTCCTGTTTGTGTGTCTGAGTTCAATGTTTTTAGTGAGGGGAAGACACAGCTGTCTAAAATTAAATAGAGCAACTCTGCTTTGAGTTTCATTAACGCGCAACCATTTTTTTTTTTTCCCCTTGCTGGGAGAGTGGAGGCCGATTTTGCAAAAAGCAAAATTTGAATTGTAGTTGTACAAGAACATTATCAAAAAAACTAACCCCAGGGGTCAGCCTTAATTATACCTCTTCCTGAAAGTAACACTCTCCTCAGTAGAAAGTCTCTTAATATGTAACCTATGGAATTGATGTAGAATTTCTTTGGGTATTTAAGATTTGGCTATGGCTTTAAAAGGTGATGTGTTCCCCCGCCCCCTCATCAGATTTGCCACAATATTGGTCTGTTCCTAGGATTCATTAGTGCTGTTGGCATGCCCAGCCCATTTGGATGGAAATAAAGCTCTTCCTGCTGTGGGTCATTTTGTCTTTTAATTCTATAATGTTCTTATCTGTAGTCTAGCACTTAGCTCAAGTTTTTCAGTTTCCATCATTCTATTTCAAATAATAGCTAAATCAGGTAATGCCCTTAGATCATGTAGTTCAAAGTTCAGAAAGATAGTCCCTTACCCAAGATGTGTAGTTAGCACCAGAGCAAAGTTCTGACTTCCTCAACCAGTGCTCCTTGATTATGCTGCACTGGCCCCTCTTGGTGTCACTGTGGTTTTATTTATCGTCCTAACGTATTTCAGACCGATCCTTTATTTAGCTTGAGTGTTTTTTTTTTTTTTCCTCTGAACGTAGAATTCTGTATTTCAGTATGTTCAGCACCCAGAAAACTTTTCAATGCCTCTATTCCTATAGAGGAAGTTTTTCCAAACTAACTTAGGAGATCTGGGTTTTGTTACTCTGTTTTCCCATGTTTTCTTGAACTGAAACTCTTGAATAGAATAGTACATTTTCAGTCCCTAATCAAAAGAGTTACCAGGAAACCCAGGAAACCAACCTAAATGTAATACTTTCTTAAGCGTACTCTAGAATTTGTACCTGTTTTTCTTTCTCCCTCCTTCCTTTTTGAGCTTTGGGAAGGGACAGCTCCCTTAAGGTGGTGAAAGAGGACTGTAGAATTGAGCCATTGAAGGTGTGAGGAGCTGCAACTAGTTCTAGAATAGAATCCTCTAAGATTGGTGAAATATTTACATTATCATTATTCAGTTAGTCCTTTCAGCCCCGTGAGCTGTAGAAATAGGAAAAAAGCCTTTCTACGTGTAGTTTTTATCCGACTGATTGATCTTGCCTTTCTTTAAATGTTTTCATTTAAGTAGCAGAAGATGTTACATTATGTACTATTGTGCTGACATACTGGGGATTTTTTTCTAACAATACCATTTTTCATTATGAATTTGTGCTATGTGTCAGCACCTTTTTTGGGGGGGTTTAAAAACAAAACATACAAACCATAGTCTGATCTTGACCCTCATTTTTAGATTGGGCGTAGAATTGTTCCTCACCTTTAACAAAGCATTTCTTACTTCCTATTTCCAGAACTCAAACCAAATATAGACATACTATTCAAAACTTTTAAAACATTTTTAACTGATGAGTTATTCTTTTAAGGGGATTTTCCCCTTGTCCTGAAATAATCTATGAATATTTAAATACAGAAAGATCAATTTAAACATCTATATTTTAGAAGCAGTCATCTATACTGAGATTGTTTATACTTAGCAGGTACTGTGACTCTGAATCTGACCTCCTGAAGTTGTGTGGTGATAAACATCAGGCCAGTGGTGGGGACTCACTTGGTGTCCATTTTGATTGAAGTCCATTATTAACTCAAGCCATCTGTAAAAAGTATCTCACCATAACATGCAATTCCCTCATCTTCATACTGTCTTTTATTTAGCAGACAGCATACTGAGGTATTACTGTGTTTCCTTTAATACAAAGATAATTAAGGAGGAAATCTTCCAAAAACATCTCCATTCACTCCACCCCTTTAAAAAAAAATAGAATGAATTACAGGCTGAAGTCTTGGTCCACTACAGTTCTAGTCATCTCAATGCAATTGTTTCCTTATATTCAAAATAGAAATTTAATCCAATGAGACCTATTTATGTGGTCGGATTCAGGGAGGGGGAGAGAGAGTAATTAAAATGATCTTAATGTCATTCCGCATGAAGATGCTCCTAACACGTTTAGACGTCACTGATGTTTTTGCTTAAAACCCATTGCTGTGTGTATATATTTGTTCTCAAAGGTAGAAATTTTCTTTTTAAAAAAATGAAACAAAAAACTTAGTCTCCCAGACTTTCTTTCGTCACCCCACTCAACCATCCTAAATTGTGATATCTTTTGCATGGATGCTGTGAGTGTCACGGTGTGTTCTGTGACTAAGGCCAGTGGCATATAGTCAGATCTGCCCAAGTGATGCAGGGGCCAGTTCCTGCACCTGACATCCAGAATAGAAAAGCTCCTGGTAGGGCGAGGAAGTGGTGAGACCAGCGTCCTCTTGCCTCTCACCGGCACAAGGTTTATGGAAGGCACATGCAGCCTGTCCCCAGCACTAACTCTTTAGGACCCTGGTCAGTTCCAGTGACTTTCCTTCCTGAGCTAGGTGAACGTGGTCTAAATTGGTTTTTTCACACTGAGAAATTCAAGGCACATGCCACGTTACTGTGTATAACATGCTTGCTCTGAGGGTAGCATGTTGTTAGTATGACGCATATCTGGATCTTTTTAGGGCCAGGGGGAGAACTCTGCCTTGTGTTTCTACTTCGCATTGCAAACAGCCGACCCTAGTTCTTATCCTCACCTCTACCCCCTTTGCAGCTACCTGACTGAGTACTACATAATCTTTGGGTTGTAGTTCTTATGTCCTCTTTGAATAGTATCTCAGATGTGGATTAGAGTGCTGGACTGAGAATGAATACAGATGCGTGATTCCTCCCAGCCTTGAAATTTTAAGATTTTGTGTGTCTATCCATATAAATAATTTTATCTATATCCTACAGTACAGAAACTTAAAATGTTTGGGTTCTGTTCCACTTAGGTAGATGACCTAATATTGAGACTCTTCTATTTGTTTGGGACTTTGGAGAATTTGTAGAGACCCTCCACAGATTCTCCTCTTTAATTGTTCTGATGTCTTGTCTGCTGAATTGCTTTTGTAAGGTTATTTAATGGCAAGAGTTATTTCCAGTACTCCTTTATAGCATCTCCATTCACTGGCCCATAGTTTTGCTCAAATAGGTATTGGATGACTTATGTCATCCTGAAATTTCTTTGTAGGAACAGTATTCCAGTTGACTTCATTTTTGTTATGAGAAAATGTTATTTTCTCATATTCTTTAATGTGAGATTGATAGCTGAAAACCAAGAGGCCCATTGGCTAAAAGAATGGCAATTCAGAAGAAAAATTCTGACCTCAGTGTAATGCTACTTGTTGATAATCAAGCTCTGACTCCTAAGACACTGTCTGCAAGAGACTATAATTTAAAACAAAGTTGATGAACCAGTTGAGTACCTTTCTTAAAATTACTGCTTTAAAGTGGATATGTTGAAAATATCAACTGCTAATTATTGGCTCACCAACAAATGACATTATTTGTTTTTCCTGCCTGTAATTTTAATATTATGGAATAATCACTCAGATATGAATGCCAAATGATTTGCGTGTCATAGAAGTCAATTCCATGAATTTTTGAAATTAATTAGGGGTGAATTTACCCTAAACAAAGAATCTCCGAATAAGTACACATAAACTTTAATGTATATTTTTATCTCAAGACACTCCTGAGATATTCCTGCCCCGGTAGTTACACTGCCAACAAATACTAATAACTACGAACTGCTGTTGAAAGGGCAGAGGGATGTAAATGAAGGCAGAGGAGGAGGAGGAAAAGCACATCTGCTTTTTTCAGCTCTCTGCCAGAAATTCATAGAGAACCAAAAATAACACTCTGTCTCACCAACCTTGTTTCAACTTGTGTTAGGTGTAGGAAATTCTTTTTTTTCTCACTTTCCAGTCTGGGTATGTGCCATTGACTATGTATTGAGTACTGAATGGTTGTGTTGTGGTGTTTGTTTGTTTTTTCAATTCATTGGCTGATAAGAAATGCACATGAGAAAGACTAGTCTATCACAGGTAGATGTGCTTATTCCATATCCCCTTAAACCAAGGTTTAAATTCTTGAGATTTAATGAGACATCAGTGTGTATCATAACCAAAATTTTAGATTCCATGGTGAACATTTATTGATTCCTACATCTGGGCTAACCGATTCAGGTACACAATTACACAGGAGCCACCAAAGAAAATAAAAACTGGAAATAAATATTACCTTTTATCTCCCCTCGTGACCCATTTCAATAAAGTATTCTGTAAGTAATTTATAGCCTGTTTTGGAGAAGAAGAAAATTAAAATAGCAAAGTGAGGATATAAAAACAGAACTGTAGCTGTGAAATGTTGTAAAGGACTACTTACAGAGGAGTTCTTTTGAATAATGATGAATTGCTTCCTGAATCGTGGTTGATTTTTTTTCACACACATCCCCCCTCCCTTAAGAAATTTACGATCAAGGAGGAACTGATTAGTTAACATGTTTTTTTAGCAAGGCCCTACAATATCAAAATGTGTGATACAGCCAACCTAAGGTCCTGCCATCATCATATCTTAGAACCCACAGCTTTCCTTAGTATAATTCCATTTCAAAGGAGGACTCTTTTCTGCTGTTGAGTAAAAGATGCTAGAGAAGAACAGTTACTTGAAAAATCTTTCTTTCATTAAAGAGAACTTACAACCTATTGGGGGTGGGGAAACCTCATCTAGAATGAAAAAATATATAATGTGTTTGGTTTCTGGTTCCTTGGGCCTTTGTGGAATAACCAAAGAACATTATTTTGGGTTTTGAGGTTAAAACTATTTTATTCCCCTCAAGCACACTGTGTTTATGGTTTAAGGGAGAAGGAGAAATAGGAAACTCAGACCAGACTGAAATGGTCTAATCATAACTATCTAATTCTGCAGTATCTGATTCTCATTCTAAAACAATGGTTACCCTCTCTGTTTTTACAGCATAAACGGAATTACTGAAAGTAAAGGAATGCTCAGTCACTGGAGAATAATCTGTTCGACTATTTTAAGGCTTGATTATTTGTTTATGATCTCAGAGTTAAAAAAAAAAGGTCTTCCCTTAAGTTGAAGCTTCTTCCTGATTATGTAGGCACCTCTAAATATGTAGGCCTGCTTTTAATATCATAATTTCATTATTGTTGGTTTTATTACCACTTGACAGTTCAGGTCATTGAAATTAGGTGATTGATTAATATTTTACCATTAGAGTAATTGTTTCACATGTTTTATCCACTATAGGTTATTGGAGTGGTGAGTAAAGAATACATACCAAAGGGAACACGTTTTGGACCTCTAATAGGTGAAATCTACACCAGTGATACAGTTCCCAAGAATGCCAACAGGAAATACTTTTGGCGGGTAAGTAAAGAAAATTTTCCAGATTCATTAAGGATAAGAACAAAAATGAAGCTAGAATTGCTGGGTCACTTCCTTTTTTCAACCTGTACTGGACTTACCACAAACCTTCAGGGTCCCCATGGACACAGAGAATTCTGAGCAAATGTGATAAAATTGGCTAATTGGCCCTGGAGACATGGTCTTTCAGTAGTTTGTGATGGAGATATGTACTATGTGAATTTCAATTTTTGCAATTCATTAGCCCCTTTGTGATGAAAGGAAATAGTTTGCTGCTTGCTTCAAGGGTAGGTTCATTTGCATTTCTCTGCTAGGAAGTAGTAATGAGTCACCAAGCCTTAGATTTCACCCCTTCTTCATTTCTTGCTGAGTTAACTTTAAATGAATGGAAAGAAGAGTATTCATAAGTGAATTATCTTGAAAAGAAATGCCATTAAGGAGGGAGAGGGGAAGGTGGTGCCAGGGGAATGGAGATGGACCATAGTGCTAGTCCTGCCTTAGTCCTGTTTGTATGTGTCTGCATCCTAAAAGCATTGGATTTGATAATATGTAATTACTCCCATAAGGGAAATGCTTATAGTCGTGTTAGAGGTCTTATGTTTTTAGAAATTTAACTTACTATTTTCCAGGCAAAAGAGAGTGCTAAGACTTGTTCACCAAGAATTGTGTGCTCACAATTTTTGATAATTTCTCCTTTGAAATATATTTGCTACATGATTATGAGCAAAATGTGAGTGTGTTTGCCTTTGTTGCCAGTAAAGATTCCTTAGAAGTAAGTCAGAGAGGTATGTAATACTTGGAGTCAAAGGTCTAAATTAAGACAATCCAGCATGAACCCCCTTAATACCTTGTCATTTTGGAAAAAAAGGCAAGAAGAGCTTCCCATTACTCACCCAGTTCTCTGGTTCATAAAAGATTCACTCTAAGTAACTGAAATGCTTTTTTGGGGAGGATTTATTTGAATCAGTCTTTCACATGCAAAGGATATTGTAGGAGATAACTTCCCACATGTTGTTAAAAGCATCCTGATTTTGCTGGCAGGAATACGAACATCTGTTGTGAGGAAAGAAAAAGTTTCATGCAAATTACAGAGTCAAAGAAGAGAAGGGATGTTCAAGTTGAGAAACCAGTGACATTTCTTGTAACTGTACTATGAGTCAGCACGTTTTTAATCTTCTTGATAATGTATGGAAATGTAGTGAGGTGATAGGGAGCAGTGTTCACTTGACGTTTGCATTGTTTTATTTTCTTGTGGGTGTGTGTGTGTGTGACTTCATGGCATCGACATTTCTGTTTTTAAATGAGGATACAGTAAATTGTAGCCCGTGGAAGGCTGACTGGAATCAACATACCCATAGCTTTAGAAAGCAGTTTCCGCCCAGCGAAGAGTGCAAGAGCGATGGAACCCCATGTTCCTGGAAGTTTGCACATCAGAGTAAACAAACTTGAAAACCCCTCTTGATAGCAGAATTCACCCAGCCTTGTTCCATTTTCTCTTAACAAAACACACCGCAAAAGCTCTCACAAGCTGCTTTGATGAAGCCACATGTATTTCCCCCTTCACAATTTACAGGAAGTTACTCTTAAAAGAAAGTGATTCTGGTGTTTACTGCCTGTATTAAAGGGACAGAGTTCCTTTTTGTCTCTGATAACCTTTGAGTGAAATACAGAGACGATTGATAGGCTGACATCGTCAGTATGTGACTAAGAACAAAGCAATAACCTGCTGTCCATTTAGAGCAGAATTTTTGCTACCAGCAGTGCCCCACAACTCGGAGACTACAAGTTGCAGATTATCAGGTATTGATTACACATATGTATTTCTTAAGTCTGAGGAAAAGGTGGTACTTCTTAAAAAGAGGGGGAGAGAGACATTTTCTGTGGAAGGATAAGGAGTTTATCAGGTAGTTTCAGTAAGTCTGTGTGTATTTTGATGTTTCTCATTCTTACCTCTGCCTTTTAACCATGTGGCTGGAATGCATCTGTTCACCAGAAGTAGTATTACTGTGGGCAAAACTTGAATTCTTCAAAGTTTGCCTTGCCTTTAAAAGAACAACATTGTTTTTTCCTGGTCTTTTTCCAAAAACACATGCCTATAGTTCTGTGAGTGGTGTCTCAGCCAACCTCCCAGATAAGCAGGCTCCCTCTCCCCTCTTTGGCTCGAAAGGGAAGAGCAAGGCTGAACATGTTTATCAAGAGGAAAAGTGACTTCTCTGTAGACTGTCAAATCCTGGCTTCTGTCCCAGTGTTCACTTTGTTATGGCAGGTGAGGTTCACCTTTGCCCCACCCAGTGTTTCCACAAAAAGGCAAGGTTCCAAGTATTCATATGATCAAGTGTTACTTTAGGACTTGGAGGGTTGGGGGTGGAGGATGTTTGCATAGTTTAAGCCTTGGGCGGAGGTGTAGGAAACGGCAAGTACAGAGGCCATAGAAAAAGTTGAGAGACTCAGTTTGACGCATTCAGTTGACTTGGTCTTCTACCCAGTGACTCAAAGCATTAAAAGTCAGCAGAATCAGAACTGAGGTCAGTAGCATCGCCCATTCGCTATTCACTGCTGTAGCAAAGTCACAGACTATGGTGGTTTAGCCCATCTGAGACAGCTCCTTACATGAAATTTTGTGTTTCATTCTTCTGTTATTTTTCCCCTCCGAATGAAAAGACCCTAAGGTGAAATGGAAAAGGTAACTGACGAAGTGTGCCTTACCTCTTGCCACCTTATTTCTGATGATTCAGAACTATTCTGGTTAAACCAATTTCTTTTTCTAACTAGGCATTAAGAAACCAGAAATCACACACACGGTACTTGCTGTGTTTATCCTCAGAGGTGTGGGGGGGTGGGGAGAAGCTTTCCATTGCTTTGGGGCTGACTTTCTTTGACATGTCTGTCTTCTCTTTTGGACAGATCTATTCCAGGGGGGAACTTCAACACTTCATCGATGGCTTTAATGAGGAGAAAAGCAACTGGATGCGCTATGTGAATCCTGCACACTCTGCCCGGGAGCAAAACCTGGCTGCGTGTCAGAACGGGATGAACATCTACTTCTACACCATTAAGCCCATCCCTGCCAACCAGGAGCTTCTTGTGTGGTATTGCCGGGACTTTGCAGAAAGGCTTCACTACCCCTGTTCCGGAGAGCTGACAATGATGAATCTCAGTAAGTGGATTACAGAACAAAAAAATAAAAAATGCCAGTAATGTCAGTTCTGCCCCCTATGAGCTAATAACATGTTGCTTAATTATATGGCTTCATCTGTTGGGCCTAGTAGGTGGCTTCAACAAGGGGCTAGGAAGAAGGGAATGATTCTTTTTTAGTCCCTATTCCCTGTTATGAAACTTGATGATTTAAAAAATATTAAGATCTACTTTGAGTATGTAATTCAGAAAGTTACAGGAAGAAGAAATCTATGTCTAATTCTAAGGGGTAAGGTAGGAATTGGCCCTGGCATGCCAAGTATGCAAGCAATAGCCCCTTGTTTGTGGTAATTTATCAATGCTTAGAATATGCCATGTCGTATCAGAGAGAGATACATTTGGTTAAGTTATGTCTGATATGGAACATTAACAGATTAGTTCTAGAAAAACTCACTGTTATAGTTTTTAAATACTCTAAATGGATAATACTTCGAAAGATTTTAGATCTTGGCTTCCTTCCTTATGGTAAAAACCCAATGATCTGATCTCCTGATCATTGTTACGGTAGCCACCTATCACTTTATCTTAACAAATTCTCAGTTCCTTATGTTTATAAGCTTTTACTTTTTTGTTTGTTCTGTCATGACCTTTCTGCAAAGGGCTGTTGTATTTTAGTCATTCTCAGGTGATTTCTGTGAATGATTTAAGAATTACTGATAAAATTCTAACCGGTTGTGACTATGGTGGTATGTTCTCACTTAGGCTGATAAATTTGCAAAGCAGATTTGTAAATGAGCTCCTTTGGGTTTAAAAGTGTCAGCATCTAAATTCTGAAAGTTTTGTAACTTTTGTTTTACTATCATTTCAAACGTAAGGAGAAATTGCAAGGATAGGACAAAGAATTCCCAGATAGCAGAATCATTCATCATTGACAGGCTAGCCCATTAGCTTTAAATGAATGTTTAATTTGTTTCAGTTCACATTTTTACCTTTGAGACATCTGTAAGGAAAGTTACTACGAACATAAATTAGAATTTTGACTTAAACTTTAGGACCAGTTAACAAAACCATTTACTTATCCTGGTCAGGTATAATCCAACTCTATAACTATTTGGTATTTGTCCCACTGTCTAGTTTACTTGAACTTCCAGTAATTTCAAAAGTGGAATTTGTGGTGTTCTGAAAATCTGGGGCTCTGAAAGTTTGAGGACCTCCTCCATAGGATCACATTTTAAGATTTGTGTTTATGTTCCTTAATATTCCTCCCCCCCCCCCCACACACACACACACTGTGTACCCTGGAGCTTCAGGTAGAAGTCTTAGAATGTTTAGAAACAAACTGACTTCCAGCATAACATGTGGGTATAATCAGGTCAAAGGTGGTACTTCTGGTCCCTCATCTCTTCAGCACTCCCAAGTGTCTTGTCATATCCCCCGTGCCTGGCATCCTAGGAGCCATTTAGCTATTTCTACATGTGTATGTGCCAGGCCTAGCACTCAGGGCCTAGTGGTAAAAGATAATTTATATTCCACCAGGGCATCGCATGAAAAGATGAGCTAGTCTTCCTAACTTTCTCAGCATAACAAGTCACTTCCTCCTGAGGGTCTCCTAACATTCCTTGAGCTTACTCATTCATGGATTGAGAGAAAGTCTTTGATTTCTTTTTTTTAAAACAGTAATCCCAGTGATTTAGCACCAACCACGAAGAACCCTTTTCATGTACTTCCCTCTCCCACTGCCAGTCAAAGAAAGATTTCAAAGGCCTGGCATTTTCTGTCGCTAACTAGAGACTTTGCACATTATTTTAAAATTTAAATGCTTATTCTTTGTGTTCATAAGCAACTTTCATATTTACTGTGAAATAGTTTGCCCCTTCAAATATTCCTTTTTATTTTTGCCAAATTTTTTTGAAAGGGTGTCTTACCACTTTTAGATACGTTTTCATTGTCTCATGTTGATAGTGAAGATGAGAGTTAACAATGACCAATGACATTAAGCCAAGACTCCTGCTGCCAGTTGTGAAACCAGTTGTCTTAGGTGTGGTAACTGACAATTGACACTCTGATCAGGAAAATTTCCACTGTTTCATCAGTCTTAATAGGGAGCTGGTGTCTTCAAATGAGTTGTACTGGGTTTCTGTGCTTAAGCACAACAGAGGTCTGTGCCAGAATCTCCAGGAGGGCTTTCAATGGTAGTGGTGGTTCACTGGTGGAGTTTTGAGAAGAGACTCGAAGCAAACAGAGGGAAAGAAAAAGAAGTAGCCACAAAATCACCAATTGGCATTTTTTAAAAAACAGAGGAAAGGAATAAGAACTATTGAGCTTAACTCCTTCCCCTCCCAAAATTTTTGATATTTTTTTTGTATCTATCTAACTAACCCATCTAGAAAACAGTTGACCAAATTATAGACTTCTAAATGTTCATCTGCTTTCTCAGTTTCAGTTGAAAACAGACTTTGTTTTGCCTACTGCAGAACTTCTAGGTTCTTTCTTGTAGTCTTGGGCGTTCTTATTATAGATCGAAAATGTGAGTCGGCATAATTAAGCCATTCAGAGGCTTCAGAAGCAGTTCACTCTTGAAATGACTCTGTCTGCCGCCTACTGCCGGTTAAGATTTAAGAACAAAAACAGATCTTGATTTTCTTTTTCATGTTAACTCAAGCTGCTGCTGAGTGGGAGAGTCAGAAATGACACCAGCTCCACTGATTACTCAGCTGCTGAAGGATGATTTTTTAAAATGTACCTCCGTATAGATTCCAATTTCCACCCTAGAACATCTTTGGGGTGGGGGTGGGGGGGGCAGCAGGCTCATGTTTCCCTCTAGAAAAGTTTTGGAAAGAGAGATAAATTTATTTTTATGAAGGTCAGAGAGATAGCAAACTTTTATTGTGGATTTACTCCATGCCAAGAAGCCACTGGAAAAATTATGAGACATAGATAATTTGCCACATAAAAATGACAGTGAAGCTTCTGTTTTCATTTTGTTTGGTGGCATTTTAAAGAAACGTGAACCTATTTGGGTGTCTCCACATCATTCTTTTTTACCTCTATAACATTCCTTCCTGTAGCTGTAAGATGCCTTGCCTATCAGTTTTCCTACTTAGTTGTCTCTCTTCCTTTACCATTTCAGCTTTAAAAAACAAAAGTGACAATTTGAACTTCCTGCCTGCTGGGCCTCATTGAAAGACTGATATTGGCCTGATAAGGGGATATTTATTTTGGTTTCGTGGCTTCAGAAATCCCGCTCCCTCAACAAGCTTTCCATCACTGCCCCCATCAGCGTCTTCGCTGATAGTGTGTTGCTCTGTTTATTCTGGGGCTGCTGGCTCACCCGGGAATAGCTGATAACAGCTAGAAAGAGATAACATTCTCTGAGGGGCTCTCAAACTGGAATCGAATCCTTCAAGCCTGTCAGCCTAGAGAATGGATTTGAAGAGTTCAGAATCTAGAGTTCCATGGAGTTCATTTCTAGACCTATCACATATCACTGAGTTCTTTCTCAGTTCAATCAAATAGGGACTTTTTTTTTTTTAACAATGATGAATGATAGTTTACAGAAATTCCAGCATATTCCCCTGAATCATCCTCTCCTAATGCCAAGTGCTGTCAGCCTCTCAGGGCAGCTTTACTCTTACTCCCAGCTGGTCCCGTCAACTGAGATCAGTTGCATGGGTGGGAGTGATCACCTCCAATAACCAGATTTCCAGCTAAGCACTTTTTCCTTTTGATTTCCAGGGAAGAGTGAGGAAGGAGGATGGCTTATCCTGCTCTAACTGGTGTTTTCCTGAAGGCATCATTTGTTCTGTGTGTTGGGAGGGCAGGCTTGGCAGAGCCTGGAGAATGGGGAACTGGCCCCCTCCTTGCTATTCCTGAATAATATGCCATCTTTGGGAACAAATGCTTTCGTCTTAGCTGCCTGTTTTCTTTGGTGCTCTAAGTAATTGAACTGGCTGGGGAAGTGCCTGTTGTGGTTTGGCAGAGGTGGCTAGGTCACGCCTTGTGATTCCAGGGGATAGCCTTGCTGGGAGCCTGGTTGGACCAGACAAAAAGCCTTGGTGAAATTCTTGTGTTGTCAGCAAATGGAAGGGAAGGGGTGGCATCCTCCCTGCTTGCCTGTCTACTTGTCCTAGGTAGTTTAAACAGGGTTTTTTTTTTTTCTTTTATCAACTTCATATTAAACACGAATCAAGGTGAAAATTGATGACTGTTTATTACTTGAAATGAGTCTTAATCTTTCACATCAAGCTCAGAGCGTGCTGATTTCCTCTAGTACTGTGAACATCGGAATGAGTTTTATTAACCCCTGACACTCCCACCCCAGTATTTTTCCACCCCGTTTTTAATGGAAGCTCTTCTGTTCTAGCTTGAACAGCACTTTTCTATCAGAAGGTTTTTACTAATGGAAACTAAGTCATCCAAATGGTGCTGCCGTTGTCCCTGCTTTGCTGAGAAGGAAATGGAGCTATGTTTTTGAGTGAGGGGCCCAGAGCCCTCTAAAGGGGAGGGTGAGAAGCCAGGTGTCTCTGACCCGAGGCCAGCTGTGTTCAGGTTCTCTCAAGGAGAGAGCAACTGTCGCAATTTCACTTCAGTTCTCTCTACCCCTCTGAGTAATCACCTTTCTTTATTTCAGCACAAACACAGAGTAATCCAAAGCAGCAGAGCATTGAGAAAAACGAACTTTGTCCAAAGACCATCCCAAAGAGAGAGCACAGTGTGAAAGAAATCCTAAAGGACTCCCACCCCTCCAAAGAAAAGGACTTCTACCGTTCGAACATTTCACCTATCACTTCAGAAAAGGACATAGATGACTTCAGGAAAAATGGGAGCCCCGAAATGCCCTTCTATCCCCGGGTTGTTTACCCCATCCGGGCCCCGCTTCCGGAAGACTTTTTGAAAGCTTCCCTGGCCTATAGGATAGAGAGGCCGACTTACATGACTCACTCCCCCATTCCATCCTCCACAACACCAAGCCCCTCGGCAAGAAGCAGCCCAGACCAAAGCCTCAAAAGCTCCAGTCCTCACAGCAGCCCGGGGAACACCGTGTCACCTCTGGCTCCTGGCTCTCAAGACCACCGGGACTCTTACGCCTACTTGAACGGGCCCTACGGCACTGAAGGTTTGGGCTCTTACCCCGGCTACGCGCCTTCCCACCACCTCCCCCCAGCCTTCATCCCCTCTTACAACGCTCACTACCCCAAGTTCCTTCTGCCCCCCTATGGCATGAACTGTAACAGCCTCAGCTCCGTGGGCAACATCAACGGCATCAACAACTTTGGCCTTTTTCCCAGGTTGTACCCTGTGTACAGTAACCTCCTGGGTGGGGGCAACCTGCCTCACCCCATGCTCAACCCGGCCTCTCTCCCGAGCTCCCTGCCCTCTGATGGAGCCCGGAGGTTGCTTCAGCCTGAACATCCCAGAGAGGTGCTTGTCCCCGCACCCCATAGTGCCTTCTCCCTCACCGGGGCTGCAGCTAGCATGAAGGACAAGGTGTGCAGCCCCACGAGCGGGTCTCCGACTGCGGGCACAGCCGCCACGTCAGAACACGTGGTGCAACCCAAAGCTACCTCAGCATCGATGGCAGCCCCCAGCAGCGACGAAGCCATGAATCTCATTAAAAACAAAAGAAACATGACTGGCTACAAGACACTTCCCTACCCCCTGAAGAAGCAGAATGGCAAGATTAAGTATGAATGCAACGTTTGCGCCAAGACTTTTGGCCAGCTCTCGAATCTGAAGGTAGGTCAGAAAAGAACAGAGTCTGACCGTTCACTAGTGCCTGTGCCCGTGAGCCCATCCACGTGTTTGTAGTTAGCTGGCTTTCCTTGGGTTGTAAATCTCATCCTCAGTGCTGTGAGACCCGGGCTGGGAGTAGTCCGTGTGGGTTTAACTCTGCTTTTGCCGCCGCAGGCTGTGTGGCTTTGGACAAATTACTTCCCCTCTCCTGCATTTCTTCTGATTAATAAAAACACAGGGTTTGGGCAAGGAGATCACTTTCAAGTCCCTGCTGGCCTGTGATTTTTGTTACTTGAGCTCAAACAAAACAAGTGTTCTGGAAACATTGGTGCTTTATTTGTTCTGTTGAAGACTTTACCTTTGATGCTTTTAAGGTGTCTGCATCATAAATGTCTGGGCTCTTTGAATAGAAATGCTAATTCTTCCACCGACTGAGAGCAGAACTAACTCTTGTGGCTTCTTCCCAGGTCCACCTCAGAGTGCACAGTGGAGAACGGCCTTTCAAATGTCAGACCTGCAACAAGGGCTTCACTCAGCTTGCCCACCTGCAGAAACACTACCTGGTACACACGGGAGAAAAGCCACATGAATGCCAGGTGGGCAGTATTTTCTGGGTAGAACTTTGCACCTTTGTAGAATGCGCCTTCCCATGGCATACAGCCCATGGTTTAATCTGACACCAGAATTCCTCCCTGCCATGGGCTGACAATCCTGTCCCTGCTGATGAGCTGATGACACAGCCAGCTTCCAGTGGGTGGAAAATGGTAGGGGAAATAAACACCACCTCATGTGCAATGTGCCAGTGTTGCCCTGTTTGCCTACCGCCACACTGTAGGTGCCACAGGGAGGCTCCTCACCTCTCAGATTGCTGGGCCTCACTTTGTAAGCTTGCCCCTCCCGTTGGCAACTCTTAATCTTCTGGTTTTCCCTCTCCTTTCTCTGCCCTCTTCCCTGTGCTGTAGGTTTGCCACAAGCGATTTAGCAGCACCAGCAATCTCAAGACCCATCTGCGACTCCACTCCGGAGAGAAGCCTTACCAGTGCAAGGTGTGCCCCGCCAAGTTCACCCAGTTTGTGCACCTGAAACTCCACAAGCGCCTACATACCCGGGAGCGGCCCCACAAGTGCGCCCATTGCCACAAGAGCTACATCCATCTCTGCAGCCTCAAAGTCCACCTGAAGGGGAACTGCCCCGTGGCCCCGGCCACCGGGCTGCCTCTGGAGGACCTGACCCGGATCAACGAGGAAATCGAGAAGTTTGACATCAGCGACAATGCTGACCGGCTGGAGGACATGGAGGACAACATCGATGTGATCTCTGTGGTGGAGAAAGAAATTCTGGCTGTGGTCAGAAAAGAGAAAGAAGAAACTGGCCTGAAAGTGTCTTTGCAAAGAAACATGGGGAATGGACTCCTCTCAGGGTGTAGCCTTTATGAGTCATCAGACCCGTCCCTCATCAAGTTGCCTCACAGCAACCCACTACCTCTGGTACCTGTAAAGGTCAAACAAGAAACAGTAGAACCAATGGATCCTTAAGATTTTCAGAAAATAAAGTGTTTGTTTTGTTTCTTAACTTATGACTTGGCAAGGCAGGGGGCCTCTACCAAATTGTTTGTACATACTTCCTGTGCTGCAGAGATCACCTGCCAGCAAATGGCTTCCCTTCACTTCTCTGGAATTAAAGAAGGAACTCCAAAGTTACTGAAATCTCAGGGCATAAATGAGGCAAAGACAATATAAATATATATACATACTATATATACTTATTTACACCCCATGTATATATTTGAACCTGTGTATTTTGAATATTTGTGTGGATATGTTTGCATAGCCTTCCTTTTACTAAGACTATTTGCCTAGCCATAATTATTTTTTCAATGATAATCCTTCATAATTTATTATACAATTTATCATTCAAAAAGCAATAATTAAAAAAGTTTACAATGACTGGAAAAAATTCTTCTAATTTGAGTTTAAATGTTATATTTTTGTCTTGTAGCCATTCTTTGTAGATAATTTCTGCACATCTGTATAAGTACCTAAAATTTACTAAGATTTAGTGAGTAAATATATTATTTCAGTCGACCTCCCTCTATAATAATGGTTTGAAGATGAGGTTTTGATATTGCCAAAGTCAGACAGTTGATGTGTTAATTCATAGGATCATATCAGTATCATTTGGACGGCATTGGCGTTGTATGACTTGGGGGTATGTGTGCAGAATTACCCAATAATAACTTCAGTAGGAGAAACAAAAAAGGGAATCTTGTCTGTTTCTGTAGATCAGATTTCCCCCCAGCTACCGATTTACCAGAAAGGAGACAAGACTTTGCCAACTTTTCTCCTTCTCCAAAAAACAGGGTCACCCACAAAAGTCATGTCACCATTCAGAGTGGCCACATGGCTTTTGTTTCCCAATGTATTATCTGAAAATGTGAAGAAGACAAAATTCCATGTTTAAAACCACTGCGAAAGGTTCCCCATAGCATAGGTGGTTTTGTGTGTGTGAGGATTGGGGGCTTGAGTTTGGGTGTTGTTTTTGTTGTTGGTTTTGTTGTTGTTGTTGTTGTTATGTAAAAGTTGCACAAACATGGTGCTCTACCAGGAAGGATTTGAGGTAGATTAAGGCTCAGGCCACACTTTAAAAACTGAAAAACGGGTATACTCATTGTTAAAGCGGGTGATGAACATTCCTGTCCCCAAAACATCAATTGTATTTTTTCTGTAAAACTCAGATTTTCCTCAGTATTTGTGTTTTTACATTTTTTTGGTTAATTTAATTAAAGATGAATGGGCATTGCAAAGTTTGTTCAACAACAATTACCTCATTGAGTGTGTCCAGTAGTGCAGAAAATGATGTTTTATCTAGTGATTTGCTACTCTAGAAAAGAAACTAAGTATGCTCCAGAAAGATAGGATGTGTGCCATTCTATCTTTTACTCTGCTAAGCCCAAAGATTACATGTAGGCATTCAAGGTGTAGCAAAGAATGATGTATATTTATAAATCTATTTATACCACTATACCATGTGTATATATAATATATTTATAACCACTTAAATTGTGAGCCAAACCATGTAAAGGAACCTACATTTTCTAAGGCACAAGATTCATAAATCAAACCCTTTCTGAGACTTTGCTTAACACTTGCTGACCTCACAATCACATTGGTGAGCTGGGGCACCCCTTTGCTGTTACATCAGAACCTGAAATCTTGGTGCAAAGGTGGACACTGCATAACAATCAAGGAGAAAAGAGATACATTGTTTTTTACCATTGAGACAAGCTAAGATGACTCTTTGTTTTGTCCCATTATGATTATTGGTCACACACAAGTCACAGAAATAAAAATCCCATCATTGCTCCTTTGACCACCACTAACTGTTCTCTCTTCCTCTCCCTCGTAAGTAAATGACCTATCACTAATCAGTCTGGATTATATGTTCACCATTTTGCTCATGGCAGCTAAAGTCAACCTGCAGAAAAGAACAACAAATTTAGAATAATCCAGGGATACCCAAGAGCCTTAATGATCTGTTCCTATAAGCAGCAAAACTGACATTTCTTTTGCATCCGTGTTCAATAAATAAGCATGGTCCTTAATTGTAGCAAACTAAAGCATCACACTCTGACACTGACAGGGTGTACATTCTGTACCCAGCCACTTTTTTGTTCTTTTTTCTTTAATGCTTTCTTACATTGGAATATTTTTACAAGGATCTGCTAATGGCTTGACTTTTTGCTACTCTGTACTGTCTGACTTTCCTTCTTAGGCCTCTTACATGTGAATTTTGAGCCCACAATCAACAGTGGTTTTATTTTTTTTTCCTTCTACTCGATGTTAAAACTGACCAAAGTTAATGGCTTTTTACTTTGCTAGAACAACAAACTCTTATGTTTACGTACTGGTTTACATTGTTATTTATGTGCAAGTTGTCAAAATGTAAATTAAATATAAATGTTCATGCTTTACCAATACTTGTCCAATGTCTTGAGTGAAGGGCCAAAGAGCCACATCTTAACCACAGGGTAAGGGTGGGCCCAGAATCCAGAATTTAACATAATGCCCTTCTCTCCCCTCAACCCTCCCCGGTATGCAGCTGTGACTGTATGATTCTCTGACCCTTCACCATCACTGAGAACTAGTGAGTGATTTAACAGTGTTGATCTGTTGCTTCTTGCCTAACTCAACAGTGAAAGATCTTTCATTATGAGCTATAACAGAATCTCTCTGAAAAGTTTCAAGCAGTAAGTGGGGACGACTTTTTTGCTTTTGGTAGACTTTTGTTTATTTGGTGAATATGGGTGTCGGGGAGTTAAGGAAGACTTGGATCAATTCCAGAAATGCCTTTCTAGCATTGTGCCTCTGTGTGTGTGAATGTGTGCGTGTGCACACACGTGTGTGTTGTGTACAAGTGCCTGTTTGTGTTTGTCCAGCTCCCTCATGGGTGATGGGCCCTGAAGCTCTGAGTTGAGGAACACTGCCCACTGGTGACATAATTTCCACTTTATTAGTACTGGGCATGCACATGGAACACAGATTTTAATGCTTCTGCATTGTCTTCTGCCTTACAACCCATACTACTTTTTCCCTTTCACATTTTATCTGAGAAAATAGATTCGCCACTTGTGCATTTAAAAAGAATTTTGTTTTAAAGGTTTATTTATTTATTTATATAAGCACTGGGTACAGTCAGAAGCGCGGGAGGGTGAGAGAATTCAACAGAGCCAGAGCGGGGAGCAGAGCAGGCAGAAGGACCGAAGTACACTGCTGAGGGCAGCAGCGGGCGGCAGGAGAGGTCTGCGCGCCATGTGGGACCCTCCTCCGGTGGCCGGGGAGCAGCCAGGGATCGAACCGATGCTGCAGAGGCTGTGGGCAGCTTCGCAACCCAGAGCTCAACCACTGCGCCACCGGGGAGGCCCTTAAAAAGAAATTTGACAAGGTTTTTGTTTTACTTGAGATGTGAAACCATTGGGGGTGGTATGACCGTGCCGTTCCAAGGGTCACAAGGTGGGAACAGGTCTACATGCTTGTCCATTGATGCTCCAGAAACTAACCTATGTCCAGGCACAAATAAATTTTGAGTCTCACTTGTGGATATGAATAGGTGTGTGAATAGTGCCCTCATTGAACAAAATCTAAAGGCCTTTGCAAGTGGTCTTCATGCTTGCCATGTCATCCACTACCAAGTCCGTAGTTCTATGTCCACATTAGCTGCATGTTAGGAAAATAATGCTCCTTCTTACATTTGGACACTCACAACTGCCTGGTTTTTTTTTTAAGTTTCTTCTTTATATTCACTTAAACATCTGTGCCAAGAATTTGAAACGTTGCCAACATGTAACTGTAGAGTTAAGAAAACCAGATCCCTACTGTCATAAACGTGCCAAATAGTGCTGGTTGCACTACTAAATTCTACAGAACGATTATGGTAATAATTTTTCAAAACAAAGCCCAATAAGATCCAGAGTGTAGCAGTTACCATCATAAATCATACTTCTTTACTTGGCAAAGCCTATCTTTTTTTCTTCAGCGTTATATATCTTGGAACACTTGTGGACTTAGCTGTTTAATGAAACATTACATGAAAAGATAATATTCACGAGGAGCACAAGTCCACCCAGCCCACATCCATGCTGTTGGATCAAGGCTTCATGCAGCTGTTTGTAGGGCAAGGCAAGACTAAAGAAGCCATCTTTTTCCTGAGTTTCCTGAAAATAAAAACTTTTTAGAAATGATGTATTACATTCCCCACTATAAGGCAATATATAGAATATGCGTTTCCACGGAGTTTATGGGCACATTTCCTGATTCCACACTACCCCCTTGGGGGATAGGAAACCAATTTAGGACCATAAGTGTGTATAAGTGAGCTTAATTCTGTGTGTGTGTGTGTGTTTGTGTAACCTTTTAAAAAATAATGGGAGATAATGGGAGAAGGCCAGAGCAGAGAAATGAAAGTAATTATAGGCACATAATGGAGAATTTCTGATCTAAAATCAGGCCTTTAGGATAATTTGGTCTAGAAAGGAGGGCTGCCCCATGTAAGATGACAACCAAAAAGAATAATGAATAGGAGAGAGGTTAGATAGAATGTGATTGCTGAACCAATAGGGAAGATATCTTTATTTCTTTTAGGAGAACATAGAGTTATTTGTCTGTAATATGGCCATCTCGTTACCTTTTTTGGCCAAAGAAATCAGATTACTGGCTACCTCTTAGTGTCCACTTCTAGATATATTACAGTTGCAAGAAATGTTTCAAACATGTGGATAAGCCTCCCATCACATCTTTTTCAACATCAAGTCCTCAGAACCCTCAAGTCCATTTGCTTCAAGTGCTGCTGGCAGCTGCTCCTTAAGTGAGACGTAATCTTAATCTCAGTACAGCCTTAATCATGTAATTTAAACAAAACACGCCAAGATTTCGAAAAGTTATTTTTACCTGATTTGTGCAAATATTCTCCAAGCCCAGTTTGTATCGAATACTATAACAAGCTCTCTCCTAGTTCTCTTTTCCTTCCAGGTTTGACCAATAATGAACTAGAGTTGGCCATACACACATTTCCTTCTATCTGAGTTTAAGATAGAAGCGTTTGTTTATCATGATGTGAATGTAGTCACAGAGTAGCTTTCTCCTACTCCCATCAAGAAAGAAAAAGGAAGTGACAGATACATACCAATAGGTAATTCTGGTAAGAAATCCTTCAGTGTATTAACAAAGGGGATTTGTTCTTTGGGAATTGTGTAGAGCTCGCCTTTAGGTATCCGAGGGATTCACCTGTGGGTGATGGCAGGCAGCTGTTCTCCATTAGGATGAGGAGCAGAGCAAAGGAAATGAAATTAAACCATAGCAGAAGGGACGTGGGATAAATCACAAAGACTAATGTCTGTCTTTAGGGTTTGTAACACAATGGGTTCCTTTCCGCGGGAGGGAGGGAGTAAGTAGTGTCTCCTTCCTGGGAGGGCTTAGACAGGAGTCAGCTTATTTGAAAGCACAGGACGACGCTCTGGCAAGTCCTTCCTAGATCTATAATTCAAAGATTTCTATCAACCTTAGAAATGATGATGTACCTAGGGACAAGATAGCTATCAGACTTTGGTAGAGAACTTAAATTACCTTAATGTTGCTAGGTAACTACATATAGAGTAGCTATAAATACACATACATATATGTAGAGAATTTGTCTAGGTCTGAGAGTTTATAAAACTATGAAATGAAATGTGCTATATATTTTGTAAAATATGTGAAAATATATTCCACATTTGAGTTCCCAGGGATTCTGAAAGGGGTGTACTATGAGACGGGGCACCACTCTCACCTCGCACCTGGCACTCTGACAGCACCCTGCCACTCGTAGTGCCCTCTCAGTGCTGGAAGGTCCAGCCGGAGGGCAAGGGGCCATCTCCTCCTCTCCTCCATCAGCTGTGCTTTCCCTGAGTGCTGTTTCCCAACCGCACAGGCAAAGAAGGCGCGACACCCCATGGGCCCTTCTGTGTAGCCCTTTCTTGCCTCCCCAGTTTTATCAGAGAGGTTGGCTGTGAGACCAACCAACTGAGGATCATTAATGGAATGATTTAACTCGTTCCATGGCTCCAAGTCTAAAACTCCACCCAAGATGGAAACGGTGGTTGTGAGCTCCTGCTCTTGTAGAAAGAGCAGTGATCTGGGGGGCCGGGGTGGGGGGAGGGTAGAGGGTTAGATGCTTAGTTTTAGTTCTGGTTCAGGCTTAAGATAACTGTGCGATCAAAATCCTGGAACTTCCTTGAGTCCTGGGCCTCAGTTTCCTGATCCATAACATGAAGGAGTGTAGGGTAAAGAAAATGTCAGGCTTTTCTGCCCTCCCGCCATCAGGATAGATGATGAATCCTTGCAGTCCTGAATGCATGCCTGATGGCGGGCACCTGGAGTAGGGTGTGGGCAGAGGTAGATGGGATTCACCTGGGCTAAGACTGCTTTTGAGGGCGGCGTCACGGGGACGCCAGCAGCAGCAGTAGAAGCTGAGAAGGAAGCTGAAAGAGAAGAAGCCCAAAGCAGAGAAGGCCAGAGAGCCCAGATAGAGTGAAGATTTGCTGGGGGCTGGGAGGACTGCCAGCCTCCCAGCCCCCCAGAACCCCTGCCTGCCACGTACCCACTGAACCCCAATAAAAGACCTGCAAAAAACCCACTAAGGACTCTGACTCCTCCTTTACCCGGTCTGCATGGGATCAGAAACCTGCACTGTGTCCTGTCCTGCCTTACAAGGAGTCATTCCCGGGCTGTCTTCTAGCGTTAGAAGCATTACATCTCTTAATATTCTAAGATTCCATCATTTTCTCTTATTTCCTCTTGGTTTGTTTTCCTTGGAACTCTGGTTGTTGCTATAGGCAGAGATTTGTAATTTAGAGAGCAGATGTCAGAAAATATGGAAATGAGGGGCAGACTTGTATGGAAATAACTATTGTGGCTTCTTTTGGCAAAAAAGATTGGACTCACAAAGTTCTGCTAATTTGTGAGAACCATGAACTTTCCCTAGGAATTAATATGCTCATCTGAAAGGAATCAAGATTCTTTTAATGGAAATAACAGGTTGTACTTAAATCAAATCTGTGCTATAGAGCCATGAATTCTAGGCTGTTTTGTTTGGTGGTTTTGTTTTTTGATTTTTTTTTTTTTTCACTTCTTCATCCCTTTCTATTTTGAAAGAAAAGGCACACTTGTAATGAAGACTGGGAAAGATTTAAGTTTGCTGCCACAAATAGGAAAAAGGGACAGAAATACTAGACAGCTAAAGAAGAGCATGAGAATCCAATAAACTGAACCTAAGAAAACGTTGAAAGGAAACATTTTGGTTAGCAAAGCAAGTGAGGCCTCAATAATGTTTTAACGGTTCAAGGTTTAAAAAGGGGAGTAAAGAAAAATGAAGCAGAAAAAGGGAGGAGGAGAGAGGAAAGGTTAAGGCAAGACAGAAACTGAGCACAAGATGT